GTTTCTTAGCACCTCATTTTTGCTGAGGCTTGCTTTGAAGTCACAATGCTTCTGCCCCAGCCTCCCAAGTTGCTGGGATTGCAGGCATGTGCCACCACATCTTGCTCTACTGTTATCTTTAATAATGATATAATTGTGTTTCTGCAGCCATCAGTAGTAGTTTAATTACCTTATTATAGCATCTAAATCTGATAAGATAGGTGCCTTGTGGCCTTTAATACAAATAAGATATGCATAATCTATCATTTAAAATGGATATGCTCTCTTTCCTGTGGCTTTTAATACTAATATAATAGCTGTCTTGTGGTCATTAATACTAATTTGATACCATGTTATAGCATCTGAAACAGATAAAATAGCTTCCTTGTGGCATTTCATATTAATAAATGACCCATAATATAGCATCTAATTCTGTTATCATAGCTGCCATGTGGAATTTTTTTCTAATATGATATCCATAACACAATACCTAAAACTAATATAATAACTGAACTTTGGCCTTTAATACTAATATAGTATGTATAGTGTTGAATCTTGAAGTAATGTTATAACTGCTCTGTGGCATTTATGATTAATATTATATGCATGATCTCGCTGCTTAATGTAATATTGTGGCTCTTCTATGGTTTTTTATAATAATGTAATATCCATACCACAGCAACTAAAACTAATAAAATAGCTGGTCTTTTACCTTTGATATTTTGTAATATCATACTATAGCAAATACAACTAATACTATAACTGCCCTGAAGTTTTAATACTATGACATTATCAACAGTCCAACATTTAAAATTAATAAAATATCTTTCCTGACCTTTAATGTTAAAATTTTTCACAATATAGCATCTAAAACTAACTTATTTTCTGTTTTATATCCTTTATTTTATTATTTCACTAAAATAATATCTGTTAAGGCATTTCAAGCTAATATGACATCTGCCTGTAGTTATTAATGCTAATGTAATATTTATATTCTACTATATAAAACTGATATAATAGCTGCCATGTAGGATTAGGCAACATTATAAAATCCATACTAGAGTATCTAAAGTTACTAAAAATAGATACCCTGTGGTATTTAATAGTACTATGTTATCCAAACGATACCATCTTAGACTATTTAATAAATTAATAGAAAATAAGGTATACATAGTATAGCATATAGAACTAATATAATTTTGATGCAGGCATGGTGACATATGATTGTCATCTGAGCTTGAGAGGGTGTGGTAGGAGGACCACAAGTTTAAAGCCAGACTCAGAAATTTAGTGATGTCTTAAGCAACTCAGTGAAAACTGGTCTCAAAATAAAACACAAAAAAATGGGTTCAGGGGACTGGGGTTTTTGGTCAGTGGTAAATCACCTGCTTAACATGTGTGAGGCCCTGGTTTTGATCCTCAGCATCACATATAATAAATAAAAAAAAGTAAAAAAATCTATTGACAACTAATAAATATTTTAAAAATGTGGCTCAGTGGTTAAGCACTGCTGGATTTAATTCCTGGTACTCCCCCCCGCCAAAAAAAAAAAAAATATATATATATATATATATAGAGAGAGAGAGAGAGAGAGAGAGAGAGAGAGAGAGTTAGAGATACAAACTTTGGCCTTTAATACTTTTTTTTTTTTTTGGTAGCAGGGATTAAAACCCAATGCACTTAATCACCAAGCCATATTTTCAGCCCTTTTATCTATTTATTTTATTTTATTTTTTTATACAGGTTCTTAGCAAGTTGCTTAAGAACCTGTATAAAAATAAAATAATAATCACTAAGTTTCTGATGCTGGTCTTGAACTTGCAATCTTCCTGTCTCAGCTTCTTGAGTCACTGGGATGACAGGCATGCATGACCAGGCCCAGCTGATCTTTATTATAAAGTATTGTTTGAAGCTGACCTGTGACATCATTATTAATATTACAACCATATGTGGCCTCTTAATGTAATATTATAGCTCTTCTTTGACCTCTCATATGAATGCCATATCCACAAATAGAATCAAATGCTAACATACTAACTGCCTTATGACCTTTTGTACTAATATAATATTAACACTATTTCCTCTGAAATGGAAATAATAGTTGCTATGTGGCCTTTTAATAGTATATAATATCCACAATATATCACGTAAATAAGCATAATAACTTCCATGTTGCCTTTAGTGTCGATATTATATCCATATTATAGAATCTGTTACAGATATTAAAGTAGTCCTCTAGCCAGGCATAGAAGCACATGCCCATAATTTTAACAGCTTTGGAGGTTGTGGCTGTAGGATCAGAAGTTTAAATCCAGCCAAAGCAATTTAGTGAGGCCTTGAGCATATTATATTGACCCTATCTAAAAAAAGAAAAAAATGAATAGTACTTGGAATAGGGGCCCCTGGGTTTAATTTCAGGTACCAAAAATGTTCTCTTGTGCTGTTGTACTGTTGTGATATTCTCATTATAGCACCCATTATTACTAAAATAGCAGCCCTGTGGCTGCTATTTTAGTAATATTAATACCATATTTTTAATGTTTTTTTGTTTTTGTTTTTGTTGTAGTAGATGGACACAAAATGTCTTTATTTATTTTTATATGGTGTTGAGGATCAAACCCAGTGCTTCACACATGCAAAGCAAGGGCTTTAAAACTGAGGTACAGCCCAAGCCCAAAACCATATGGTTTTGTCTTGATACTATATTTGCTGCCTGGTTGTCAGTTATACTAATATCATGTTCATAGCTTAACCTCTAAAACTAATATATCAGCTTCTCTGACAAATCTGATTCTAAAATGACATCCATAATATTGCATCTAATACAATAATAATTGTGGTCCTGTAACCTTTAATATTAATAGAATATCCTTCTAATTGAATCATAATATTTGCCTTGTGGCTTTGAAAACTGATTTAATATTCGTGCTATGTCATCTTAAGCTAATATAATAACTGGCTTAAAAACTATTATGATATCCATAGTATAGCATGTAAAATTAATAAATGAGCTTCTCTGTGGTTTTCAATTCTAATATAATATCTATGTTATAGCATCCAAAACAATTAAAATAGCTGCATTGTAGTTTTTATAGCAAAATGACATGTATAATATAGCATTTAAAGCAAATTTAACAAATGATCTGTGGCTGTTACATGAATGTAATATCCATATGATTGAATTAAATATGATCTAATAGCTACATCATGGCTTTCAATAATGATATGACATTTATGCTGCAGCATCAAAAACTGAAAATGTAACTGGGTGCTATTGTTCATGCCTATCATCCCAGCATTTCAAGTGGCTGAGACAGGAGTATTGCAAGTTCAAAGCCATCCTCAGTAACAGGAAAATCTAAGCAAGTTAGTGAGACCCTGTCTCTACTTAAAATATAAAATAGGGCTGGGGATTTGTCTCAGTGGTTAAATGCCCCTGAGTTTAATATCCAGTACAAAAAACAACAACAAAACAAACAAAAACCCCAATAGAGTAGCTGCCCTGTGTTCTTTAATAGCAATATACCATCGTTATTTTAGCACCTAAGAATGATGTGATACCTGCTCTGTGGATGGATCATACTAATATGATACCGTCTTCATGACAAGTTTTTTTCACAAGTTCTGGTGATCGTATCAGAGCTTCATTAACTTTAGTTACTTCTCCTAATAGACAAAAAGAGGGTTAACTGGCAGCTTTCACAATTCCCAAAGCACCAAGCTCATCCTGTTTATTCAATTTTGTCTCAACTTCAGGTGGGCTATAGTAAGCAACATCTCATGGAACTTTCTGTGCACAATTGCTGATTCTCACTGTTCCAATGCTATTTTTTGTGGTTATTAAGCAATGTTTCTCTCAATTCTCACACTAAGAGCAGAGTAGATCTTTTGAACAGCCACCAGAACCAAGGCTTACATGTTCCGTGCCATACACAGTGTCATGTGCACAAAGCTGAGGCTAACTGAACTTTAGCATCTCAGGCTAGTATGAGCCATTTATGAGACAGTGTCTCATGAGGCTGCCCCTGGATCACTGGGATCATGCCTCCTTCCCATTACCTAGCCTTAGCATCTCTAGCCACTGGTCAGAATATACTTTGAGTTACTCATAAAAATAAATGATGCACAAGTACTCTAGAAAGCCTGGGCTATCCCTTGAGGCCAGCTAAATATATTCTGTGTGCCTCAGACTATCTTTCCTGATACTAGTGGTTTTGGGGAAATAGAGTCTTTCCTGCTGTGAACTGCTCATATTCCAGGGCAATGCAGGGAGCTCACTGGTGGAGCTTTTCCCTGGAATAAGAGATGCCTGGGTTGGAGTCCCAAAACTAAAATTAACATGAATGAATGACAACCAGGAAGCAAAATCAGGCTAAATAAACCTGTTTATGAGATGCTAGTAACCTAACAAATTGTTTTTCTAGCTGAGAAATTAACTATATTTGGTGTCAGAGAAACATAAAAAGGTGTTCAAAAGGGCTGAGGTTGTAACTCAATAGTAGAGTGCATGCTCAGCATGTGAGTCACTTGGTTCAATACTCAGCACCACATAAGAATAAGTAAATGGAATAAAGGTATTTTGTCCATATACGAATAAAAAATAATTTTTAAAATGTGTTCATGAAATATTCAGTTTATTTTTATGTGGAATCAGGAGTAAGAAAGTAAAAGATAATTCAGACCTTTCATGCCAGGTGAAGTAGGTGAGGTAACCTGAGGTACATGTGATTTCACAGGCCAAAACTGAGGTTTGACTTGAGTGAAAGTGTTAGGGCCTAGCCTCTGGGAGCACAGCTGGGACATAGAGAAAAAGAGGGTTTGTGAGAAATTGTAAGTCATGGAGAAAACACAAGAGAAATCAATTTTCTTTTTTCACACTGCATTTCTTCATCCTGAAAAAGATATATAAAGAAAGTGGAAGAGAGAAAGAAGGAGAAATGAGTAAAGGACAAGAAAAAGAAACAACATCAGACAGAACAGACATTAATGGGATGCAAATAACATTTAAAATCTGTCCTCAGGTTGAGAAGTCAACCACTTTTGGTGGCAGAAGAAATGTCAAATTGTGTTCAAGAGGCCACACATAAAATATGTGAAGAGAATTTTAATTTGGAATCAGGATGAACAAATTAGAAGATAATTCAGTGCTTCTAAAATTAGAAACAGGCAAGTGTGAAGACTTTAGTACTTGTTGTTCCAGATGCTAAAGCTCCGGGTCCCCTATGAGCACATTATGTGGAGTAACCTTGTTGAACGCAGTCAGGATCCCATACAGACAATGAAGGGTAAAAGGAGTAGAACGTCAGGTAAGAAACAGAAGAAAAAAACTGAGATTTTCTTTTTTGCTGTCATTAATTATAGCAGCAGAAATGAGAGAAATAAGGAAAGAGAGTGGACACTAACTTCCAGCTGCATAGGTAAGTCTCCACAGGTCCTGAGATTCTCTGGATACTGCAAAACATCCATGTGCAGAGTTTTGTGACAAGTTCTGGTTTTATTTAGTGCTCCGCAGAGCTTCCAGGTCTTCAGGTACAAGGCTTCTTGCATAAATAGCATTGTGTTTGCCCATTTTTCCAGTTGGAAGAGCCAGATTCCATCTCCTCTCTTTTTGGGAGAATGGCAATGCTGAATGATGCCAACAACCTCTTGCCACTCTTTTTCTGGCCTGGAAAGGCCAACTCCTAGTCTGGCCTGCATGGATTATTAATCAAATAGTAATAGTGGACAACAGCCACTCTGGGCAAATAAGAAGTTATATTTGGAGACTGGGGTGAGCAAGTATACACCTGGGCTCTTTGAAAAAGGCCATTTGTAGCTCCCAGTGAAACCAGATTAACAGATAGGTTATTAGTGTAGTTAAGTAAAGCGGGTCTAATATAAAGTAAGATAAATAAAATGGAGGCCATATTGAGAATGCAGTCCAGGAAACCAGAGCAGCACTTGGGGAAATTTAAATGTTAATGTCCCCAAGGCCCTATGCCCATCCTAAGGAAATGTTAATGAAGCAGCTCCCAGCAAACATGGAAGATGCTAACCTAAAAGTCCCCCCAGGACCTTCCTGCCCAGGTTACTCCTTCAGCCCACCTATACCCCACCTCCTGGGTCTTCCCGCCTTCATTCTATCATTGCAAGAAAACAAAGTACAGGAGTGTGGGAAAGCTGAAAGAAGAACTTAGCTATAAAAACAGGAAGACCTCCGCCTTCCACAGATTCTGCCTTTTGGGTCCCCTTCTTCCTCTGGGGAGAAGTATTTTCTGCTGTTCTTTAATAAAGCTTCTACTTTCCACTCTACACTTGCCTCAGCATGCTTCTCTGGTGTTATACTTCAGCATTAGGGAAGCAAGGACTTATCACTGGTAAACAGCAATAACACCAGAAGGCTGCACAGTGAGTTTGAAATGAGCAAGTGTTCTTCAGTATGAACTCAGTTTACATTGCCTGAGAAGTGTGCAGACAGGCCTCAGACCCATCCTAGTCCAGAATACTTGATGACATGGGTATGGGTCCAGGCTAAGTTTGAGTATTAGGTTCAGCTGGTTGAATCCCTCCTCTATCTGGTTGATCTCTTTTCAGCCCCTTCTGGGACAGTATCTCATCCCCAGAAGCATGATCTCCCCAGAGAATACTTCCCTGTCAAGTACTGAGATCTCTCATTTCTTGTCTTGGAGATAGTGTAGATAGTGAGGGAGCTGGGATTGGGTCTGGGGTTGTGTTCATGACTCCAGCCATGCACTCATGAGCATGTGTCCCAGGGCACACATTTCAGTGCTCTGAGTTTATTTTCATATGATAAACAGGAAGTAGAAATGGCCCAGTACAAGGGTATGATATTCAGATGCAATATTCACAGTTGCTCTGAAAAAAATAGTTCAATTGTTTTAAGTCAAGTTCACATTCAGACAAAGCAAGCAATAGCTCTCTCCAACCTGGTCCAAAAGAATTTATTGGAGTCAAGCTCCTCTTATCACTAGCCATCCCTGGATCGAAGTTAGAGGCCTGACCTCAAATGTCATTGATACTGAATCCCAACCCCTTGTCAATGTCAGCCACACTGAATCCCAACCCCTTTTCAAATTTAAGATCAGATCACCAAATTTATATGGTGAGTGTTAAAATTAGGGTTGTAAATAATGTTAGAGTTTGGCCATGAGCAAATGTGTGGTCTGTGTTTGTGATCAGATATTAGTTAATGAATACCTATGAAGGTTTACAGGGTAGATGTTAAAGAAAAGTAAGTACTTGGTTTGTGTTTCTAAGGTGAGGTAAGAGAGGATAGGAAATAGGTTTAGTGTTTTGTGACTAGGAATATACAACATAGGTCAGTCAGGATTAGGATCAAAAAAAGACTTTAGAATTCAGCATTCCTGAGACACTATTCTCTATAGTATGTTAACTTTGACTACCACCACTTATAAATTGCTCTCTAAGCCTACACCCCTTCTCTCACAGGTTCCTGTGTATCCCTATATCACATCCATTTGGCCTGTGGCATACCCTCCACTCCCTCCTTTTACCAACCCTGTGTATCCCTCAATTTTCTCTACTCATCTTCTCCTGTGGACACTCCACCAGAAACATTCATCTCTAGCTGAATAGCCTTCCACATTGTTTTTTCATCCCTCCCCTTAGCCCTCCACCACCTCCTCTGACAGATTTCTGTTTAGCCTTCCACAACCTCCTCTTATCTCCTGCTGCACACTCTTCCATTACCTCTGCTCAAGAGCCCATGAGTACCATTGACCATTTCCTCTTGGTTTTTATCATTATTATTTTTTGTAGCTGAGGAACACACCCTAATTCTATCTTGACATAAGGAGCCATCTCATCATAAATTCATGAAAAGTTCATTTCTGTTTTACTATAAAATACTGATTTCTATTTGGCCTGATCATAATTTGGTATGTAAATTATTAACCTGATATCTGCCTTTGAATTTTGCTTACCAAAACCCTGTTAGGTGTAAGTTCCCAAGACAACGACCTTTTAATTTTTTGTGCTATAAAAACTGCCCTGCACTCAGATCAACTACTGTCCTCTGGCCCAGCTTTTCAGGAGAGGCAGTAGCTTATCAGCTCTCTTGTGTACAAAATATGAGCTTGCTTTAATTTGGTTTAATATTGGCATCAGTGGTCTGCCAGGTTTCTGTTCTCGAGACTAAAAGGCTCACGAAAACTTGGCTAACTGCACTGCACAAAATAACTACACAAGAGACAAAAGTACCTTTTTGTTTGGGGTTGCTTTGGTGGCTCCTCTGACCTTAAGGGTCCACAGGAAGAGAGAGAGCAAGAGCATGCACTGACCCCTTTAATTGAGGAGAAGCTATTCAAATAAGGCAAGGGGTCAGGTTTCAGGGGGCTGAGTCTATCTTCATGATGCCCACTATCAGAAGGTTGACTGGCACCTGGGGCACACTCAAGGTCACAATAAGAGAAGGGGACACACACAAGGCACTTCCATTGAAGATTCTATCCTAAACAGGGCAATGGGTTATATTACAAGGGAACAGGTGAGCATAGCTTCACAAATGGGGCTGTAGCAAGACATGCCCATGCACGAAACACTTATACTCAAACCCAAGAAGCGTGGGGAACAGCTCTGCCACTTTCCTGGGACTGAAAGCCTTAGCACCCAGCGAGTGTGACTCAGTCACGTGTAAGGTTGGTCTCCCATAGTGGTCTTTTCTTTGCATTGCGGGTTTAACCGTAGCACTCCAACATCACTTCTCTTGCTATTCTCTGTAGCCATCCATGTTTCAACTTCTGTGTCTTTCTTTACCAACTTCTCTCATCTCCTGTATAACTCTACTCAACCAGCACTCTATGTAACCCTATAACACAATATCTTGCAGGCTACAGTGTAATCCTCCACCACTGCCTCTCTCTTCCTGATGTGTATACATCTACAACTTTCTCTTTACCCACTCTGTGTAACTCTCTACTAACTCTTCTCATCCTTTGTGCAGACCTCCATAATTCCTCTCATCTTCTCCTTTCAGCCCTTCACTATTTCTTCTCATGTATGTTGCCCTATACCACCTTTTATCATTTCTCTCAGTGTAAACTCCACCACCTCTCTTCATGCTCTACTGTGGAGTATACCACCACCTTCTCACATATATGGCATGAACAACATTTCCTTTTCTCATGGCCCCAGTTAAGCCCTTTACCACCTGCTCTCAAATCTTCCTGCATAGCTCTTCATGGATCCTGTCATCTCCCATGTAACCGTAGACCATCCTTCTACCTATCCCTTATTAGCCACACAAACTCCTCTCATGGCCCCTAGAAAGACCTCCCCACCATCTCTCCCTCTGTAGCTCTTGTCATCACCTGTGTATTCTCCCACCACTTTCTCTTTGGCCTAGTAATTCTGCCTATACCACCTCTACTCAAAGGTCCTGAGAATCCCTCCTCTACCTCCTCTGTGTCTTCCTGGTTAGCCATCCATTATGTCCTCTCACAGACCCTTTGTATTCCTCCACTTAACCACCTCCTCCCAAACCCTCCTCTGCCTTCTCTCATGGCCTCCAGTGGAGGCATCTGTCATATATTCACATGTCCAATGCAGTGCTCCTCATCTCCTTTTCTGTTGCCCTCCACCATCTTTAACCTTCATCTCCTGTTTTGCTCTCCATTGCCTCATATCATGTCCTGTGTAGCCCTCACCTCTTTCTTTTATCTCCTTCTGTATAAGTTCAGGTTTGAAAAAATAATCTTTAAGTTGTAAAGTTTCAATCATATATATTAAGATAAAGAAACAGTTTTAAAGTTACCGTATTTGCTATAATATTTTAAGTACAATAATTTTAAATTACAAATATTTAAAATACATTAATTTTCTTTCTCATT